TACCCAAGGCACTGATCCCAAAGCACTAGAGAAAGCTCGCCAGTGTGAGCAAAGCAGCTGGCGGAAGCCCCCTCACAACTCGCGGAAAACGGATCACCGAAGTTGAGAAGGACTGGCTGACATGCCAGGGATCGTCCCGCCCTAGTCTGGAGATGGCATCAGCCCAATTCGACTTAGACGGAATGTACTCGAACCACATCTGCGTATTGAGACCGAGCAAGAGCATATGTACCATGTGGGCAAAATTCTCGAGGTCTCTGGAAGAAGACCGTCCTTTCACAAGGGCCATCAACGAGGCCACGTTGTCAAGGAACCAGATGCCGCGGCGGTTCCGAAAACGATCCGGCAGCCCTAGCAACGCATACGCCACCATGGAGACCTCTAGTTGTGCAATGTGCACCTCGGCTGTCTGCCACACCGAGTACCACCAAGGGTGGACATCGGCCACAAAGCCCTGGCGAGTCTGGTGCGTCCCGCTGAACCATACTACGAGGAAGCCACCGGTACCTCCGGTGTCTGGCTCCTCGGCTGCGTCCGAGGCACACACGAACCGGTCGCATGGCAGCGGCACCACCGGCAGCTGCCGTTGAGGCTTGGCTCGAATGATGGCTCGGATGTACCGGAAGTTGTCCAGGAGGTCGGGTGTAAGCTGCGTGGTCGCCTCGTATTGCCGCTCTTTGATGGCCCAGAGGCTCCCTGCCCCGACTTTGCCATACACCCCTTGCTCGAAAAAGTTCAAAATGCCGTAGAGCTTGGCGGCTTGGCCCGGGTGCAGGCACAAACTTGATTCTGCGTCGGCTAGCATGGAAGAGACCTTCTGTACGATTCTGTCTCGCGGCCAAAAGCGCACCACGCCGTCAGAGAGAGCACGGGACATATCGTGCGCGAGGCCCAGGAAATCCCCACGATGCGACATGGGTTGCCTCTTGGAGTCGGCAAACGGGGTACCCAACAGCGCGTTGAGTTGTCCGAATGCCCACTGCCCCGAACCTTTCGAAGAAGCCCAGTCACCCACTGTGGCGTCATCGAAGTAGAGGGAAACCATCGTCAGCACGAGGCGGCGCCCAAGGNNGAGAGTAGCGGTTGAAAGAGGTCACCACCAAGGGAAGGCCGAACAGCAGGCCGGCATAAACCTGGAACGCAGGCTGCTGCCACTCATCGTGCCAGAAGCAAACCACACAGGCTCGGGATTCCTCCGAGGACATAGGCGAGTGGCGGTATGCGTTCGGCCAATCTTCGCCTCCTGTCTGCCAGGCGTCCTCGGCTCTGGCCGCCGAGAGCTCTGCCTCGGACATGTAGCTGATGGTGGCACGTAAGTGCTGGGCCGGCCGGAGCGGAGAACAAAGCACAAGCTTATTGGAATCCGCTGAAGTAGCCGACTGACCTCCATCCGCCGCGTTGTCAATGATGCGGTGCTTTCCTGATCCTTGCGTAATAACGCAACGGGGTATCACTCTGAACGGCTGGCCTTTCAAGAGCCGCTGGACGCCTGCTAGGGACAACGGCTCGGAGCAGAAGCCCTGGGCTGCATCAGCCAACGATTGTTCCAGCAGCACCTGATCCAGGCGGCCCGGCTTCAGCCGCCGGATTGTCTCGGCATTGTGCTTCTGCCAATCCCCCAAGACCTCCTCGATGCTGATCGGCACGGCTTCCTGGACAGGGAAAACTCCATAAGGCGGTGCGAACCCAACCGCCGGAAGACCCTTGACCAGCCCATGCGCATAGGTCACGTCTCCCCACTGGCCAGGATGATGAGCAACGCCGTGAAGCCAAGGTCCCGCTGCTGGATGGCTCGCCGAAGCGCTTGTGGTTGTCGGGCGCGAAGCCGTGCGCCTACTGACCCCCANNCGGGATGCAGCTCTGTCGGAAGCGGCCGGGTGCCCAAGTGAAGCGACTGTTCGAAGTGCTCATCCACTGAAAGGCCGAATGGTAAAAGAGGGGGCAAGGCAGCCCGGTGCGTCGAGGCCCCAGTCTGCAACCCATCGGCCGTACGCTGTCGAAAGCGTTGCTGTCGTTCGGCGGCAACCGGAACGAGGGGTCCCTCCCACTCGTCGCCCCGTGCCGCGAGGTATCTGCAAAAAGTGTCGAAGGGGGCCTGGTTGAGAAGGTCCTCGACCATGGGGAAGCGAAATCCCCGGAACCATTCGGCGGGGAACAGCTTCCGGAACCGTAGAATAACCGCCTCTTGCTGGAAGGGGACAGGTACCGCCTGCCCGATCACTCGACCTGCGGCCCACGCTTCTCGGATCTTCGCCGTGCTCGGTAACCAAAGACCAGCCGCTTTGGGGTGAGGGAGATGCTCGCCCCCGCCAAAGCGAAAGAAGAGGAGCCCCGCCAACACGTCTGCCTCGCACGGAACCTCCATGGGGGTGTCGGAGAGGAGGGTCAGGCCCACCAGCTCCTCAAGATCGTGCCATAACTCGGCGGCGACGAAGTCGGCGTAGCGCGCCAAGGCTTGCCCTGGATCACAGGTGAGACCAGCCACCCAGGGGTTACGCCACTTTGAGGTGGGTAGTCTGCGCTGGTAGTTGCCCTGACCCACGTAAACGCAACCATCCCGCAGCAAACCTTTTGCAACCACTCGCTCCTCGGCCAAGGCCTTCACTGGTAACTGGTCCCCGGCTGGGAGCTGCCCGGGTCGCAGACCCAAAGAGATTGCCAAGGGCGCCATGGCCGCCGAGCGTAGGGCCTCGGGGGCAACTCGAAGCCAATGCTCCCTCCTGCCGGTGATCTCCACCGGGGGCAGCCTATGTATCTGAACCACCGCCAGGCCGCGCCGGGCTGCCCACCAAGACGCCGAGACTGCGATGAAGAAGGCCAGCGGAGCCGTGACCTGTGCTCCCTCCTGGTTAGGGGACCACAGCTCGCCATCGACCCAGCGTGGGTCCCACTCGGAGGGGTCGTGAAAATGCTGGCACAACAAAGGTGGCCCCGAGGCAAGCTCAGCGATGTTGTGGCGAAGGCGTTGTGATCGACATCGTGCCCCAGCGAAGACACAGGACGAATATGGTGTGTCGTGCCATGCCTCGGAAAAGGCGTCCTGCGTGACGGTCGGCACCTGACGGCTCACAGCGGCCAACGCATCTTCCAAGATGCAGCCGCCTCCACGCTCCCGGACCTGCTCCACCTGTCGCTGGAGGAATGCGATCACCGCGTCCTTGGAATCATCGGTTGCTGTGCTAGGGGCACCGCCTTGCAGCTGAGCCGTGGGGTCCCTCCCCACTGCCCCGCTGTCGGCGAGAGGGCGCAGATAGGCCCGACCATCGTTCGAAAAATTCCGGCACTTCTCCGGCTCGTGGTCTGGCTGTCTGGTCCCGGGAAAAGAACAGGAGGTCTGCGGATGCGATGTCCGCGGCCGCGGTGTCGAACCACCTGGTGTCCCCAGGGTCCCCGGTTGGACCAGGCCAACCCGAAGACGGGAGAACACGCCACCCACACCACAGGAAGGCAGTGCCCAGCAGGTTGTCGGGATCCGGCTAAAGAACCACGACGGACGGCGACAAGCAAGTGCGCTGGTCAATGTCAGGGGCGGCAGGCATCAGAGTGGATTC